CAGAGCCGGCGGGGGCACCGGCTGGCAAGCGGGCGGGGAAGCCCTGGAGAGGAGGTAACAAGGGCGGGGCCGATGGGGACCCTAACGGGGATAGCCGCGGGGTGTGGCAGAAGACCCCAAGCAGGGACGGTTAAGCGGCGGACGGGCCGGGCCCACAACACCCCAAGAAGAATCAGCCGGGACGCCATACCCGAGCGGGGCAAGCAACTGGGGCTGGGGCACCTAGGCACAGGGAAAACACGGGGCCCATAGGTTAAGGGCACTCTATTCCTTTGTGACCTCCAGGTCCACTGGTCGCATCGCTTCGGCAGTCACGGTGGTGAGGATCGCACGCTAGGTCATAGGGTGGTTGGAATAGGGCACTAGGGATACGGGTTAGTCGGATCTAGGTCCAAGGGTCTCGAAGCCTTCACGCTCAAGCCGTGACCCAGGGACACTGGGACTCATGGCTGGAGGGCCACGGGAGGCTGGGGAAGAAGCCGAGTGGAACCAGGGACGCCAAAGTGCCAGAAGACGTGCGACCCAAGGTAGCGAGTGGCCGGAGTGTAGGGGAGGTCGGAGCCCCATGAGTGCCCGCCAAGAGGCCTGATGACCCTGAAGGCTGCCTCGAAGGGGAACCCCTTCACTGAGGTTCTATTCGAAGTCGTGGCAGGAGAATTAAGGGGACCCCCGGACGTCAGCCGGGGTAGCCTTTGGGTCCACTCGCAAGCCCGGGACAGGCAAGATTGATAGTCTGGGCTAAGGCGGCATGAGAACGCCTGGTAGAGCAGAGGTGGGCACAGTGAGCACCAAAGATGAGATAAGACTTTTAAATCAAGTCATACAAAGAGAGGCTGAAAGAGCGAGGCACGCTCAGTGTGTGGAAAGGGCATTTTAGCCGGGACATGATAACAGGCTTCAAGTATTTGAAGAGCTGCCTTAAAGAAAAGGAAGAAAACCTTTCCTGTATTGCTGCAGAGACTGGGACATGATCCAATGACCTGAAGTTGCAGCAAAGTCAGTTTAGATTGGATATCAGGAAAAACGTCAGTGCTAGAACAGTGAGGTTGTGAAAGAGATTTCCTAGGGAAGTTGTGCAGTGTCCATCCCTGGGGTGTTCAGGAAGAGGGTGGATAGCTACTGGTTGGGGATGGTTTAAGCGTAGCCATGCAGATGCCTCACTAGGGATATGCAGGGGTGTAGGTTTTAGCCGTGTTGGTCTAAGGACATAGGCAGACAAGGTTCCTTGGGTGAATTTGATATCTTTTATTAGACCAACAAAAGATATCAAATTCACCCAAGGAACCTTGTCTCACTAGGGATATTACCTTTGCTTCTGGGTTCTGTTTATTGCTGCATGGGATTGGGAGGGAATTCCACCCCTACCACAAATGCATATAACCCCCACTTTTCTTCAACATGTCTAAGTGTCTTTAGGACTTTATCAGAGATACTGGGTGTCTCCCCAAGGCTGGGGATTTTTACAGGGGTGTGCCACTGCTCCTGCTGGGAAATAATGTAGGAGGTTCCTTGCCCTTCCACTCGGTGTAAAACCAATCCTCAAACTGAAGGGGGGGCGGGGGGAGGTTACCCCATGGTCATATTGGCCCTGCGGGAAGGTGGGGGGCAGAGGGTGGAGTTCGATTGAGGATTCCCTTTCTCTATTCCCAGGGCGTGGCCTTTTACCTGGGATATCTTGATTGCTTAGTCACAAACTTTTCCAAATTAGGACATGGACTGCCATGACCTCCCTGCTTTTTATGTGGCCAGATACTGTTTTTTGTCATTTGTTGCATCAAGTTTGACAGTAGTTTTACTAGCAGGTTAGATTCGTTAGTAAACGGATATTTGTAAGATTTGACTAGGAAAGTCGGTTAGACTTCATTACCTACAGGATGCTTTCTGTATTCATAACTTCACTTAGTGAATGGAGAAAAGGTAAGTGGAAAGAATGACTACATATTGAGGAGCTACTTCCAGCAGATATAGGAGAGCTCGTAAAGAGCAATGGAAGAGTAGCTCACTGAGGAACATGGCTGAACTTCCTTTGGACCTTGATAAACTATTGAGGGAAACGATGTCAAAAGTGCAGGAAGTAGAAAAGACAAGATATGACAAGAAAAGACAAATTAGGAAAAAAAGAAAAGAAAAAACAAAAACCGGAATTCAGGAAGAAAAGAACAATTGTTTCCCACAAGACAGTAGTGGTTTGGGATCCATTCTGGGAAAACCGATTGAAACCTACACCTGACTTAGAATGAAGAGGGCTGTTTGGGATAAGGTGTACATTAAGTGTTTTTCTTGCTACTGTAGAAATAAAACAGCATTTCGGTTTCAGAAGGCAGTCTGGTGGTCACTAGATTTATCGCTGGTCACACATGCAAAAGGAAGAACAGCAGATAGCATGCCCAGAAATCTAGTGATTTGGGCAGAGTACTGCCCAGGAGGCTTGGTCCAAGAATGGGAGAATCCCATGATTCCTGACAGCAGAGCTGAAGGCAGAAACCTGATATTTCAAGCAATGTTTTGGGCAGTTCATGTATCTACACCTCATCCTATGATGCTCAAAGGCATCTGCTACTGTGGGTTCTTCCTCCCCCGCGCTAAATTATTATACCTGCCCTTAATTAGCCCTGTCTCTCAGCAAAGCTTTCGGTTCTCTGACAGGCTCCGGCGAATCCTGCTCCACTTCTACCAGGTAGGGAGGTAGCGGTGACAGAGCAGCTTACTGTGCCGGGGTTTCTCCTCCTCTTCTTCTGAAACAGTGACTTCTCCGTGTATTCTGCCCTTTATTTCGGAAAACTATTAATCAAATTAAACATCAGAAAGCTCAGCGTCAGAACGGTGAGATGGAGTAGACGTTGTAGCTTTAACATCACCATCTACTATTGTGTTGGGATGGATTTTGGAGATCTAAGCGGGTATTGGATGCAGGTTCTGAGACTCCTCAGCAAACTGGCTTTGGCGGAAGCATCCCTCTTTATGTAGTCAGGCTTAAGTTGACATTTCAGCCGAAACCCAAAATCAGACCCAATGATGTAG